ATGGTGAAGGTTGTTATTTCTGGCTTCCCCCCCCATCGCCCCCCGACTCAATTTCTTTGTCTTTTCTTTTTAACATAAAGTTGAAATCATCATAAATATTAAAAAAAATCTTTGTTGCACCTCCAAAATCTATTCTATAATAATGAAGAAATACGTAAATACACAACATCATAAACTAGCAAAACATAAAGTTCATTGGAAAAAATATTCTTTCTTATTTAAGTTCTGCCTAAAAATTCCCAAAGTACACAATACAAAATATATACCAATATAAAATACATACCATATAGTTAACAGAGTCTCCTGATATGTTAATATTATGTTGTTCTGAACCATAGTAATCTTATAATCATTTTTCCAGCTGAGAGGGGAAACAACTTTTTTTTCCTATTTCTACATTGAAAGAAAATGATAAGGCCCCCTGTTTTGTTAAAGTGCAAAATGATTCCATGAAACTCAAGTGTATCTTCTAACATTTGTTTAACTTTATGAGGGAGTGGTTCTTCCACAGTCAAAGTCAAACCCTGGGAAGATCTTACCATCATTCATCAGCTGTGATTTTGAACTGACAATGATCAAGATTTTGAACTGACAATGGCAGAAGGTGAAAAGATCGACCAAGTTCCTGTGGGGAACTTTTCTCTGTTTAGAAGCATCAAATCCCCCGTATATCTGCTGAAGTCTCTTTGAAAGTAGTTTCTGAAGGATGAGTTTGAAAGAGGGGCATAAGCAGTCACTAATCTTCCATCGCACTGAGGCAATGACACAGCAGCAGAGCAGGAAGGAAAGCTGGCACAGAAGCATGAGAGCAACAAAGCAAAAAACCAAGGTTTTTTGGGAGAAACCCCCAAATTATATGAGTTACAAAAAAGAAACTTTTCATATGCTCAACACAAATTAATCTACACTTGCAATCTGCCATGGCAGACTCAAAGCAATCAGTAAGGTGACTAAACCAAGCATTCAGAGAGTACTAAGTGACAGAAGAATGACCATACAACCTTCAGCTTGGTCCACTTAATAAGCATTGAATACAGTCTATAATTAACTCCACGTTCATGATCCTCCTTTGGAAATCTCATTTAATTCAATGCAAACATAGATTCCGCTTGGGGAATGATTCAGAAATTGTAGTGAATGAGACTCTTGTTTCTAAGACCTGGCCAGTCTCAAAGAACTACTACAATATAAATATTTAATAATAACAAAAGCATGCAACTCATTGCCAAGCACAGATGTTAGAAAGTGACTGCAAATCTTGGCATTTGGTGGCACCTAGTAATCCACTGGCTGAGTCACTAATGTGATTGATAGCCTTAAGTTGTTCAGGAACTATTGCCCCCCTGAGAATAAAAATCTGTGAGTTGTATCATAGTTTTTATATAAGTATTTTTCTCTACACAACCAGTAAATGTCAGATGTTATCCTTACAGGTTTTAAAAAGGTTCCTGCTGCTTGGGAAAACCCTTTAGCAGGGAGAAACGGATGCAACCGGCCTGTTTCTATACTTAGGGCATATTTTGTTTTGATATTCTAATTCTGGTAATGGTGTTATGGTTAGTACAAACATAACTAAAAGATGAACTCCTCTTGCAACAGATCTTTTTCACTAACCTGGTCCTGAGGAGACTTATATCTTATTTTGACTAAGGGAACAACTCATTCATAAACTGCATTGCCTGTGGAAGTCCTCAGCTTCCCATTCACCCTGTATGTCATTAACAATCCCCACCTGGATACCGTCCTGCCCCTTGAAAGCTGTTAGACTTTCTAAAGAAGAGCCTTCCTAGGCAAAGGCACCAGAAAGGAACCATCTTCCATCTTAATATTCTCCTTTCCAACAAGAGTGGTCAGAACCTGTCATTTCCATGAAGCTTCCATACAGTATCTTTAAAACTGGCCATCCCCTTACAGATGAGATTCCTGTCCATGCCAGCCTCCCTAATTACAGCAAGGCACTTATCAGACATAGAGCTCCCACAGAAAACACTATTCAAGTGCTTCTGACAGAATTCCTTCCAAAGTGAACAAATCTGGTTTCATTACCATTTCCATGAATTCAGGGAGAACAAAACCATTACATTCCTGTGACCACAGCAGACTGTGCTACATCTGAATAACACACCCTGGACGTCTGCAGGGTAGAGGACATTAAAGCATCAATGCATAAAAAAAACTAAAGAAGCAAAGGCAAATGGACACATTACTACTTATTTATGTCAAATGTTTTCCTTTGTATGACATCCAAAATGCAAGCCAGAGCATTTAAGGTGTAATGCAGATCTACCTTTGTAGAAAATGTTAGTCTTACGGGCAGTTAGTTTCAATGACATCAATTGACACAGCCAGCAACAGGTTTTGAGCAAACAAAAGATTAAGAAAAAAACATCCAAAGAAAACTAATTGTTGCCTTAAGTCCTTCAAGCCACTCAAGATTCTCACATGCTGTCAATTAAGTGAACCCTATAAAGTTACGATTTATGGCAAGATTCCACCAGAACGATTATATCACAACAACAGATATAATTCAATTATTTCTGCCAATAAAGTCATCAGTGCAGAACATATTATCCCTTTCAACTCAAAGCATTTTTTTCAAACCAGAAAGTGCTTCTGTGATGGTATCATCTTGACTCAGTCACAGGAAGTATTTTTAACCACCAAGTTCCATTAAATTCAGTCTGTACTTAGAAATTTGCTACTACAGAATTTCTGGCCACAAAAGGTGAACTTGTAGAATGGTAGCAAAGTCCTTTAGGCTATCAGCCATTTTTCTTTTAAAATTTATTTCTGATGTTTTGTGGTATTTTCAGCCATTTTCTGTCTTCCTTGCTATTAAAAAATAAACAGACCAAAAAATCCAGAATAATTCAGGTCAGAAGTGAAGTCTGCAGGTCATCAGGTCTAGTCTCAAAGCAAGATCAGCTTTAATTCTACAGAAGAAACAAATAAACCACAACAAAAAGAAAAAAAAAACCAACTAAAAAACCCTAACAAAGCTGCACTTTAAAAAAAAAAGTTATTTCACCTACATACAGTACTTGTTTTTCTTGTTCCTTAGGTTAGCTTATAGTATTTATTTTAATCATGCTGATATTTTTACAGGTCTTTCTAGAAGTTAACTTTAGGACTTCAAAAAATGAACATGCATAGTTAGAGTACTATATAAGCATATATTTTTAACTAGTCAACAAAATCTTTCTTTAATCAAACTAATGGAGAGTTTTTATAATGGGAAGTTTTAAGAACAGAAATCAGTGTTCTGGAAGCCCTCTACCAGGTAAAACTTCACTTGGCCTCATACTGAAGAATAAAAAAAAGCAGACTGTGCCTTGGAGAGCTGTGATCAAATAGGTAAATCAGCAAAGAAGGAAAAAAAGAATGGAACAAAGGCCTGAGGGGAAGGAAGACTCAAGGGGATTTACTAACAGGAAAATGAAAAGGACAGTGCAAGCAGGAGAAGGAAGACTGAAGCAGTGGTTTGGATGCAGCACAGACTGGGATGCCAACTGCGTGTGGACAGTCAGCAGGCGTGTTCAAGAAATTGGACATTACAAAATACACAAAAATAGCCTGGAAAAAAACCAATCAGTCTAGTTAAAAACTTAAAAACCATTTTTCCCTCTCCAACACGCAGACATTCACTCAAAGGCTACTTATTCACTTCACTATTTTGGATTAATCTCTTTACTTTGACTTCTACATGTATAAATTGAAGGTAATGTACCATGTGAATCTCATCCCACGGTGTGCATTGATACACCCACTGATGTCTCTGTATCACTGGGATGTCTCAACACAGAAAGTTTAGCAAAGAAATTGGGTAACTGTGCCACCAGCATGTGTTCCAGACAGCATGCAACAAAAACTGTGTAGAACACGACACTGAATGAGACTAGAAAGAAACCTTGAGCTATTTATGCAGCCAACACTATCCTTCCTGACCACTGAACAAGATACAGAGCCTTTGGAGAAAAATAAATAAATAAATAAACAAAGAAACAATATTCCTTCTTTATCGTATACATTCTGCAATCTTTTTGCTGTATGTTTCTATAATTGAGTTTATGCACTCAGCTGCTTCTGAAAAAGAAGCTGCTGCCTAGAGACTTTCTCATCTCCTGCAAGCAGCAGTTCCCAACACACTTAGGGCACTTTTATTCCATTATGGAAGCTCACAGGCTGCTCACCATCACCAAACGGAATTGTTTCTCCCTATAGGTACAATGCTATTTTGAAAACATTAAGAATAGGGTTTGTATTGACATGACAAGAATACATCCCCTGCACAACACAAGTCACCCAAGGCCACGAGATTGGTCCTGGGCCCTTTTAAGTAGAAGGCTTTCAGCAGCATTTTTACAAAGATTTTTTGAATATTTAAGATGATTTCACCAAGAAATTCTGTCAGGTTGCTGACCCCAGAAACAGGGTCCCTACTGACCCCTAGTGTTCGGCAACCCAGGCTCAATTCGATTGATTTAAGGCAAAAAGCATGAGAAGCATCCTCATCCTTCAGCACTGCATTGCCCTTCTGACATAGCAAGAGGTCCCTGCCTTGTGCTGAGGTTCTTTCCACTCTATTTTATCAACACAAATAGTAGTACTCATTTTTTCAAGAAACAAATAGAAAGGAAATAAAAACTCTCAAGCATCTCAGCAAATTGTAGATTCACATTCCTTCTGCTTTCACATCTATAATACATTTTTCATTTGGAAGATTAAGAGAAGGATATCTAGAGCAGAGACTGACAGTTGTGACTTCAAGTGGGTATTTATAGTCTCTTGATCAGTTATTAAGGAATTAATGACAGTGAACCACAATCCAAGCTGGCCTGCAAAGCCTTGTGCAAGGGAAGGAGTTGTAATTGTCAGGTTGCTGCAGGACTTGACTGTCCCAGGTAGAGTCCAGTGAGCCAGCTGCTCAGATGGCATAAAAGTTGCTTACAACAGAAAATTGTAACTACAGAAATGAAGAAGAATCCTACTGTTCTACTTACAATTTTGAGTCCAGGTTCAGGAGAAAGCCCAGTTTGTCATATTCTGGAAAACAAAAGCAAAGGACACAATATGATAAAAGCTGCAAGAGTCTCCTCTGCAAAAGGCACCAAAATCAAACAGCAGCAAGTCCTTATAGCAGCTGTTAATACAGATTATTGTTACTTCAAGGTATTCCTAAATTAACATTTCTCAATCTCCAGGAAATACCAGAGCAAGAGAACACATGGGTAACCATTAATTTAGAAATCACTAGAATTAACCAAGATATCCAGAGTGATAAAAAGAAACCATTACTGGAACCACTTATGCAGTGATAAACAAAGCTTTCCTGCTTGCTGTACAAAACCATATGACAAACATTCCTCCTAAGTTCTGATGTGTAGAGCTTTGAAATTTGTCTTCATTCCCTGTCTATTCCAACCCACAACTTCATAATCAAGCAGCTGCTCTTCAAGAGAAAGTGACTCACGGTGGCAAAAGTGCTTCAGGTGCTGTTCAGCTGGGAACTGCAAAGTCAGTTTATGCCACGAACAGGGGGCAGCTACAGAAACAAAACTATCACTCAGAACATCTGTAAGTCATGTATAAAATAAGCTTTTCATTCAGCATCTCTGAATACATTGTGATCTTGTAAATCAAACACTTAATAAAAAAAATAAAAACTCACTTAGAATTCACATGAGATATACAAGAAAAAGGTGTAGTGTTCTCCTGCTGGGCTAGGCTCAGGGGCCTCCTCACACTGAGGACCCCTGAGCCTCACTGCTATACAATAAAAAATAATACAGAGAAGTAAAAGATAACCCAGTCTGAGATTAAAAAAAACAAGAAAAAAAACTCTCAAAAGCTTTTAGAAAGAGCTCATTGGAAATACAAGATTAATTTTCTCATGAGACACCCCTAGAATTCCTGGTGCAGTAGTTTACCTGAGAAGATCACAAGCTTTTCACACTCTCATTTACTAGCAGATCAGCAAAGTCTAAACACACACCTCAGACACAATGATTGCATGAGATAGGTCAGTGTAAATTGTGCCATTGGTTTCAATCCCATTAAGATTTAATTCCTGAGCCAAGGGAAGTATTCTATTTGACGTCACTTAGGTAACAGAAGCTGCAGAACACGTGCACACTTGATACTGGCACATACTGTCTGTTCCCTGCCAGCACCCGAGTGCCACCCACCATCCCCACTCCACCTGTGCTTCTCTCCTCCGCTTTCCTCATTCTGACAGTTCTGTTTCCCCCATGTGCTGCTTTCCTCATAACTTCTTCCCAGTTTATTCCTCCTACAAGAAATTATGTCCTGTACAACCTCACCTCCACCACCTGTAGGACTGGGCTTAGGAAATTATCCATTCCAGAAAAAGAAACATGTCATCAATTTTTATTAACCCTTCTGACTCCCAAACCCAACATCTGTACTATGCAAACAGCAACAAAGATTTTTTTTTTTTAATAACTCTTTCTTTAAAAATATCTACAGCCACTGACCCATCTGTCATCAATCTTATCTCATTCAAACCAACATTCCCTTCTTCCTAACAGGAAATGCAAACAGAGGAAATGCAATAAGAGATATATCACCTCATAACTACAACAGCATCCTGGACTTTCTATTTCTATTAACTCAGCACTTCATTAGCTTTGCAACCAAAGCACCAGAACACAGACATGAGCTAAACATTAAGGACAGACCTCCATTGCAATGTTTCACAAGATTTAACTTCAGTTTGTCACAAAAGTTTCATCTTCCCTAGGCTTTAAATTTTCATGTTCAGTGATTATTGCTGAGAGAGATAAAAAATAATATTTTAAAAATGATATGTCAACTACCTTGCAACAGGCACTTTATATTAAAAAAAAAAAAAAAGTGTTACAAAAGAAAACAACATTTCTGGTTTCAAATCAGCTGCACAGGTATCTTCTTGATTTTCAGTAGGGTGCAACTATAGTTTCAGGCTGTAACATCAAACCAGAAGCATCCACACCCCTTCCTCTCCTTGGTGAGTGAGATGTGCAAGCTACTGCAGGCAGAAAAATGCTGCCCTCACCATGGGCCATCTCACACTCATGGGCACTTTTTGAAGTCAGCATTACTATTAGCTTGGAAATCAATCTCTATCACATGCTGCTCCCCCAGGAAAGCCACTAGGACCCTCTAAAATGGCAGAAATCTTCCTGTCTCTAAGTAATCTTCCTTTTTAGCAAAAATTGGAGTCTTGCTACAGACTTCCAGAGACATTTGGCTGTACCACTACAAATACAGGGCCCGAAAGTTAGCCCAACATGCCAGCTGGAAGTGGCCTGGATTCACAAAAGACAGATAAAGCCCCAAAGATCTGAAGAAAGCCAAACACAGAGCCTAACTCCAGGAAAAGGCAATCCTTGTCTGGAGTTATGTGTTTAAATTAAAACAAGAAGAAACATAGATCCATTAAATCAAAGTATAACTGAATCTAAAATAGTTTGCTCAGTGTGTGATGATTACAGGAGAGGAACTGAGGGGCAATCCCATTCCTACCCCTTCTTCCATTTAAAATAGAGGTGTCAATAACCTGCCTTGGCACTCATGCTATTTCTCTGTATCCTACAGGTTGCTTCCTCCTCCCATAACCTTAGCTTAAAGCCTTACTCACCAAGCTAACCACTTGATATACAGAAATATTTCTCCTCTTTTTCATGTAGTGGGATAAAGAAGTGCTGGAATATTAGAGAAAGCAGAACAAAATAGTTAGAGAGTACAAGGTAAAAAGACTCTAGCTTCTCCACCAAAAATCAGCTTGGACCAGCTGGCCAAATTAACTGTGGTTTGATGTTGGCCTCCACCATCATCATGATGACCTTTCCCCAGCAGCCCAATCATTAGGGGGTCTCTGCACTGAAGGACAATGCAGAGCCACTTACAGGTACAGTCTGGAAAACTCCCTTCACATTTAAGCATGTTGATAGGTCTGATCCAGCCCAGGCCATGTCTGACCCATCAGTTTCCAGACAAGACACCTCTATGGCTGTGTGGCACAGGATCTGTTTCTAAAGCAAAAAATTAGTAAAGGGAATAAAGAACTTAGTTTGCATCCCCTGGAAGAACATCATGGAGTAATCTGAACAAGACTTCATATTATCAGCCCACAGAAGACTGAAAGGCCCATGGAAGATAAAAGTAACATGATTAGAAGAGCACAAGTTAATCTAAAGATCACAGTCACCTGTGCTAAGGAGCCACAGATCTCAGCTGACAATGTGGTACAGCAGCACACAGAAGCAGAGAAATGAACAAACATGGGAAGTGAAGTTTCATCGTGTCCCATAAGAACAAGAGGTCATCCTAGGTCAAAAACAAAATGCATTTCTACATTTCCAGGAAGATCAGAACTGAATAAGAATCTAAGAACTGACAACAATTTCATAATAAAGCATGTAATTGGGATTACATGAACAGAAATAGAGCCAAGTATAGCAATTTCTATAAATTATGCAAATCCTGTGACAAATTCAATGTTGGCATTAGCATGGAAATTCCTCCAAAGAATCCAACAGAAATACAGATACCAGGCTGCAAGTGAGAGATGAACTGTCTCATGTCTGAAAACTCCATGCAGACCACCCAGGAAGCCATAAACCCCAGTGTACAATATCCAGCAAGTATTCAAGTTGCCTTTTGCATCTGCAGCCAATATAGCTATATAGAAGCAAAATGGGAAAAATTTTGCCCTTATGATACTAATCTGAAATTAACAATCCAGGAATTAACTTGGCATAGTGGATCTATCCTTTTAAACTACTTGTAACTAATTTCACTGATGACTTGAATACTAACCCTTTTAGCAGCCAGCTACTTAGAAGCACAGTACAAATAACTTTGCCTGCAGAAATATAAAATTAAACTTTTTTTTCATGACCAGCTATATGCAGTTCTAGCTCTGTGTTTAACTGGTGATTGCAAGTACAGGAGGGAAGGCAGAAGATTCAATTTCACTATTTTTTTCAAAATGTTTGTGTTTGTCAAAGAAACGAGTATGATTCTCAGGAGACAGAAGCCCTATCAAGGATGCTCAGACCACCCTGATACATTTCATCCTGTCTAGTGCAGTTTGGTCTCTGCAGAACTGAGGATCCAGTTGAGCCAAGCTTCCATTCACATGCAAGTTCTACATCTGCAGCAAAGGCCACAGGTAAAATTACTTACTCTGCATGAAAAAGGCCAAACATATCACATTCACCTTGGACTAAGAAAACACATATGGACAGTTATAAAAGTTCAGTTGATATAAAATAATTCTGCTAGAACTCGAGAGACAAGAAAGAATTAATGAAAAAAAGTCATGTTAAATGGATCAACTGAAAGGGACAAAAGAAAGATTTTATTCCAGGGTTAAAAAAATACCAGTCAGGATTACTGAGCAACAATCAAAGTACTGGATAAACAAAGACTTCATTTTGCATCCTTTCCTTAGGATTTTCACTTTAACCTCTTCAGTGATGGAATTTACTGATGGAAGCATTATCTTCTATTTAAATAACCAGAGAATAAAAAAGACTGCAAAGGCAAGTTCAGAAGTGGTAAAGCTGAGGCCACCCGAGTTTCTCAGCCCAGTCCTGCATGGTCAGCATGCAGGGCTGCATTTCAGCTTCCTCCTCATCCCCACTTACACTTTTGCATACGCATTTACCAACCTTTTTCTCCAGGTTGCCAAGTGACACCAAGGAAAACACCAAGACAAAGCCCAGTCCCTGGTGCCTTTCCCTGCTGTGTAACAACAGACAGAAGAAGCAGAAGTGACCCCTGTAAAGCTAAGTGCTCAGCCCTTGCAGCCCAGCACCAGGAGCTCACCTCACCAATCTACAGCTACACATCCTAATACAACTATAGCAACCTCCAATGGTAGAAAAGCAACTGACTGCTTTAAGCTGAATTTAGGAAAGACTCCAATAGGAAGATGAAAAATTTCCTCCTATGATCTGCATATGCCCTTTTGCTTTTCCCAGGAAGTCATCTTTTTCAAGCCAGACTAAAGCCTTTGCTAAACAGTTGTTCCATTTACTGCCATGAGTCCACTTGGCAAATGGAGTTAATGCTGCCCTATTTAGTCTTCCAACATACTCTTTATTCTATAAATTGTATCATATTTCCTAATAAAAGTCAAGAACAATATTAACAAAACAGTAATCGATATTGGCTTTTAGTAACTTACAAGATGTGCAGATTTGATGCAGAGAGATGTCACATGAGAGCGAAATACTAAAATACTTTTAATTTGAGGCATTCATTAAGCCACTTCTTGACATTTGCACCTCAACTCATTCACAGCTGTATTTTCAACTGGAGGAATAGAGTATTAATAAGAAGACAGATGATGATACTGAACATGCTGGCAAAGTCACATAAGGACTATGAAACAGCTTCATGACAGTCACTGGCAAAGATTCAAGCAGCTCCCACAGTCTACACTCAGAAAAATAAAGAATGAAGTAGAACTTCATTAATCAGAAATGAAAAGGGAAAAGCATTTTTGCAGAAAAAAAGGCACTAAAACCAGCAGAAAAAATACACATATTTCCCTTTTTTCTTTCTGCCTTTCAGGGATGAAGAAACACACAGCATAGTAAGTTCATCTCTCCTTTCACATCATAATCACATAGTGCTAAACAGAAATGCAATTTGGGTGAAAAACCCCAACATGCTGGAACCACATCAGCTCCAAATATTAATTAAACTTGCTTTCCTCAAACCACGAACATCTAAACCTAATTACCACTGACCTGAAAATCCAGGAAATATCAGAGTTTGCAACTGTAGATATCTGAGTATCACTGAGAAATCAAATAAACAGCAAGGAATCTTCTGCAAGTCACCAATGCTTTTCTCTTATGCTAGGAATCTATCACTACTCTACCCATTTGATACCTCATTCAGTTGCACTTCTATTCCTGGCCTCCATCCACACCACTCTCCATCCAGAACATAGGCAAGCAGTCACCAAATTCACACTGGAGTTGTATTTGATAGGACAGACACAGTGATATTCTCATCCTTCACAGAATGGCTATCCGACCATCTTCAGCAGCTGAACAAAACAGAGAAAGTTGCCTTCATAGTTCTCACAGCTTCTCCCAAAATGGTTATGGACTTTGACTTAAGGAATCACTAACAGCAAACTCCTAAATAAACACAGATTTAAATTCTCAGATGATTACTCCACTATCAGTGTGAACTCAGCATTTGGAAGCATGGTCTCACATGTGGGCTTTCACAAGCACATGAGCTGCAGCAGATAACACTACTCAAACAACTTGACCAAGACCTAGATTGCTAGTAATTTGGTTGCTTGTAATGTTGGAAGTAGCACCTTTTAAGCCTGCAGCGAGAACATCTGCTATGAATCAGTGGTCAGTACTGCAATCAAACATGTCTAACAAGAGCATAAGCCTACAGCCCAAAGGTATTCAGTATTTTCAGCAAGCACAGTAGCATCTGGGAAACTTGCACTCGTATCCAAGGCTTAGAGAAGAAAAATTTAGCTTGCTGTCAGACGCAGGAGGTAGGAAAAAGTCTTGAACAAAAATAGCAGGGGTATAAATCTAACTTTCAAGGTCCAATGTTTGATTTGGTAGCAACAAAGTAAAACAAAGCAACTAGAGAGGAAAGAAAAAAATAAAAGGAGCACTAGCTGTCTATGGCAAGTGAATGAAATCTAGGTCTCCTAAAAAACTGATTGTTTCTCCAACTTCAGAGCATGACACCCTTCTTTCTGAAATGGTTTCAGCTGAAACACTGGCCTAGACATCACATCAAACATTTATCTCAGCTGCTCAAGAGCTGCTCAAAACTTATCTTTCAAGGGAATAGACAGCCATGAAGAGAATTACAAAAACATCTGGACTTGTGAAGGCTGGACCACAGCATGAACCTCATGGCTCAGCCTCAGTCAAAGCACATTTGGCTTGCATGTCCTCTACCCAATAATCTCCTGTGAAGCATTACATTGAAGCTCCATAGCCAAATGAACTTCTGAACAAGCAGTTCAGAAATTTTATCCAGGAAAACCTAAACAGTGTCATTAGTCTGAGTTGCATAAGGACAGATTTCCAGCATTTCTGAAAACTGTGACTTCCATATGGGACAAAGTTAAGGGGAAAGCCAAGATAAGGACAGTCAATTCAAGTATGATACAGAAGCTGCAACAAGACAGCCCTTCACGTGGCATGATTAACAAGTAGCAAAGAGCACTTCTAAACTGTTTAATATGCAAATACAAGTACCAGTTTTAAGCAGCATGAAATCTAAACAGGGAGACTTACTCTCAGCTGGTTTTGACTAATAAAGAAAAAGGTATATGTAATTTTATGTTTCAAATCATATAACTTTAGCTGAAACATCACCTACTGGGAATGGCTGGGCCTGGAGCTGCCATGGTTTCTGTGGGTTCTTTCTGGGCTCTGTCTTTTCCTGGGTCTGCAGCAAGGTGAGATGGGATGGACAGCGGAAGCACAATAGCCACAGTTTTTCTCTCTCTCCTTCCTGTTCAACAAGGAAAGCTATCCCTCAGTTGGACAAACATCACACATCTTGACATCTTATTACACATACCAGTTAGAGCAAGGTGAAGTTTGCAGCACAGTAAGTGCAAAGTACTAAACACAAGAGCAATAAACATACAGCTTTCTCAGACATTTCTGAGCCTCTCTTCTCAAACACATAAGTTTTCTTCACGTTTCTTCAATGAAGGAAGTCAAACTTGTTGCAGTGAAAGGGTTTACAAAAGATCAAGTGTTACTGCCTCAATCCCTAACCTTTTTCTAGCTTGAGTTGTAAAATGCCAGCAAAGACCAGTGCTTTTAAAAGAGACCGAGGTAGTCCAATGTCTCACATGAGCCTGTCTCCCACCCTCCATATTAACAGAACTCCAAAAGACACAGAGCAGTTGAACAGTTTTTCATCACTAAGTTTACTTTCCTATTGGTAGAAACATTTATAGTTAACTCCATAGATACAAAATCTGTGATTAAAATTCAAGCAGGGGTATCTCAAACCTATGCAACTTCCTCCCTACTTTTGCAGGCTGAAGAGACCACCACCCAATACAGGAGGCAGGCAACAACACACTTCAGTTATGACATAGTAATTAGTAAGAGAGAATTAATAGAGGATTTCTTCCCCCCATATACACAACATATCCATTTGGCACCCTAGAGATACTCCCACTTTAGATCATGCACTAAGAATAGATCTGTTTCCAGACAGAAGTTTTAGAGGAGATACAGGGAGAGAAGAAAAAGTTTGAGTTCTTTTAAACTAAGTAAGCTATTACCACTAGTTCAGGGGTTAGTAAATCAGATATGTGTTCAAGCTTCAATGTTAGTGTCAGGCAGCAGGCTCTCTTTCAAACTGTGCAGGCAGAAGACAGGTGCTATGTTGGAAGGCAGCATGTTCCCCCTATCAGCCTAAGAGGAAAGGCTGGCAAGCAAGATAAAATAAAAAAAATCCAAGCCAAGGTTTTATCTTTTGTGTAAGACAATAAATATCCCCATCTTTTACGTGTTAAGGGGTTTAAAGTTGTAAGAGAAATTCTTAGCCTTTCCCTTGCACTTCATATATATTATATACACTGTAAACTGAATTTCATCAAGTATCATGCTCACTATGGTGTGCCTTGGCTGCAGCTTGCATATTACACACAGCCAAATGGAGTTACTGATCTAGCAAAGTGCCCCCAGCACAAAAGAATTTTTGATTTCTGGTTCAGTTTAATTGTAGGTCATGCTTAGGCTCCAAAGGAAATGAGATTGGGAAAGATTTGCCCTGGGGTTTGATAATTCTGGTCAATATCCACCCAAAAAACCCCGTTTCCAGCCCTATTGGTTTAGTTACGACTTTTTTGCCTTCTCCTTCCTGGAAGCATTCCTAATGTCTTTCCCCAAATAACTCAACTGTTTGTTTAGCTGGGAAACTGTCCTAGTAGCATGAAACAGTTTTTCTTCTGCTGGTGGGTGACATCATCTTAATGCCTTTCACATGAGAAGAGAAGCACAAACTGCATCATCAACACGTGTCCAGGTCGTTTCCTGGCTGGGTAAGGGAAGAGTCCCGCAGGTTAATCCTTGTGTCGTACTAAGGCTCTTAGAACTCCCACTGCACTTAGGAAAGGACCCATTTACCCTTTGGCTAGATGCTTGATTCCCACACAAGTCTGACTCGGTGTCCTGCCTCCCAACATGGCTACCATGTCCAACTAAGTAGAGGCCTTGTCATGAGGTGGGAGATAGAGAAGAAGGCAATGTTGTACCTGAGCCTAATGTTTGTCCAACGGAGTCAAAGGAAAGAACCACTGAATCTGTAACACAAGAGTACAAGTTCATTTTCCCCTTTTTTCAGCACCATTTCTTGCTGTAACATTTTTTTGTTATTTTGCTTAAGCAATTCCTTGTTGCTCCCTTCTGCCAGGAAGCAGAACAACTTCTTCACCAACCAGACGAAACAAGAGGCACCAAGCAAAGGCAGAACAACGGAGTATGCAATAAACCACAGTGCTGATAACCAATGAAGTAGCTACAATTCATTGAAAAGAATTTTATTTTATGTCTAATAAGCTTGGTCAAGTGAATCAAAACATGCTTTGACTGCTGGCCTAGAGAGTTTTTTTCTTATCAAATGTATTTCCAATATTTTATCCCCACTTAGGGGCCTCACTTCTTACGATCAGTTCTTCCCTGACACGGTTTGCTAAGCCAAGCACTTTGTGCTCCTTGCATTCCATGCTCACCATGTTTCCCACATCTTTACTCACAGTAGTGGCTTCCAACTACTTCCAGCAGTGCATTTCAGTTCATCAATATCTTTTCACCTTTGCACTATATGCAGCACATGTGCAAAGCATCAAGAAAATATAACCTCTCTACTTGATACTCTTATTTTTCTATCTGGGAATCACAACAATGCTTTTATCCATGACTGCATTGGCACCTCTTGCTCACCAGTTAATGCCTGACACTTTTAATCACTGTTTCAGATGATGAGGCACTCTTTGCTTCAACTGTGCTTTAAAGATCCTAGTTTTTATATATGCAACTTGACATTTGGCCACATAGAAACCCTTACTGCCTGCTTGCACTCAGCTCACCCCATGATCCAAACCCCTTTATTAGACATTCATTTTCCTCATATACCACCCTTTCAGCGTAGAATTTGTTTGCAAAACTACCAGTAATAATTTGATATTCTGTTTCAAGTGGAGTTGCATTATGTCATCATGCTCAATAATGGGGCTTCCCCCCAACTTTATGCTTATTTGAGACAAACTAAGATTTATTTTGGTAGTAAGCCTCCTGGTTTGCCATCCATTTTCATGGAAATCCTAACTGAAGGAGGAAGACTACCAAATTCAATACCCTTACAGAATTGGGCCCAGAACTTAGAGACAAATTGCCAGTGGGCACAACACAGAAAAGAATAAAACACCACAATAGGATTAATAATTTTATGGTCTGAGAAACTTTAAACTGACACAGCAATAGCTAAATGAATAGACCAAATCTTTTGACATTTCTCTTTGTCACTCAGGGTTCAGAAGCGATCAATTCATCACACATCCTTTGCAGTATCACAAAGGCTGCCAAGGTGCAAGTCCTCAGTGCAAGGCAAAAAGCTCAAGCACAAGAAGACTTAGCCTGCTGAAAAAGAGTTCAACCTCCTGCTAGATCACTTGAAATTTAGGCAGGATACAATCACAGGCACTGGCAGTTACCATGTTAAAGCTGAAAATAACTTGACACAGGACTGAGCCCTTGGATTCTCTATATTTTACATTATCCTGATGCTTTTTTCCAACCCTTAAAAATGCAGTAAGAAACTTAATTTTCAAAATTAACACTGTTGTTTTAATAAAGGACTGTTAATCTGACTGGGTTTGAAAGGATTTAGAAAAAGTCTATGCTGTCTCAGATTCAGCACTATGGTAGTAACATTAAAAAAAATTAAAAAGATATTACTGGTCTCAAAACTTACTCCAACAAAAATAAAAATCCATCTGGACTTAACAACTATATTTCCTCTTTTGGGAATAAAATTCAGACATCATTATATTATTCTAAATAACAAGGAGTTTAATTCATTTTAACTGCATTAACTTTATTTGCCATCAATTTTAAAGTATCTCTGTGGAGTTCTACTTTTTAAAAAGAACTGTTGAGATTTTTATCAACATAAAGTACTGCTTTCTAGTTAATGTCAAATTTAAAAGCTGTTAATTTTTCTGAAATATATTTTGCGCTCACACACTGCACATGAAATATTAGGACTTATCTAAGAATGGCTGAAAAGCACTGCAAGCACCAAATTAATAACATTATCGCAACCCACAAAAATAGTATAATGTTTCATTCCCTTAACTGAGAACATTATCTTCCTCATATAAAAAAACAATTTACAAGAAGATTAAGAGCTCCCTTTTCCAATCCAGTCCTTCATGCTACTAGTAGTTTCAACTAATCAAATTCACTGTGAAAAACCTGTATCACAGTCAACTCCCCCTCGACCTCCAGGAGTAATTTCACAAAACTATGGATCTTTATTAAAATGGATCTTTATTAAAATGCTTTGCTGAAACTGTGTTTATTTCTGGTATTAGCACTCCAAAACTGAATAAACTATAAACCTGAAGAAAGCTAAGAAGATAATCATATGTTACCTTTCTTCTACCCAAATAGTTAACATCCAAATTCAGAGCTACAGGTTATTTCTGTCAGAAGTTGACAGAGAGAAGCATTTCTTTGAAGCAAGCCAGATTTACTTGCAAATACACTGAGTTCTGCTTCCACAAACATAAGAAAAAAAGTTTCTTTGCTTCTAGCTTCAAATCTCTTCCAGTCACGGCTCAGTTCAAAATCCTCCTGACTTTCTAGGGGGTCTTTTTTGCTGAGACAAAGTGGCAGCTCTGTCTGTGCCCAGCGCCTTTCCCCAAGCCCTGGAGTGCGCTCTACCTTTCAAAGGCAATCTTCAAAGGCTTATCTTTCAAAACTTAGTAAGATACAATGTAAAACATACCACTTACATGAGCCCTTGCTTTAGGTGCCAGGAAGTGTTTGTGCCTGAAGGAAGTCCCCAACCTTTCAGATAACTATTTCCATTAAGAAGCTTAAATGTTTTTCCTCCTGCCTTAACTAAAGGGCAGCCTTTATACCTAAATCATGAAATCTGACACACAGTAGTTTGCCAATATGTACAGCTTAAGGCTGCACACACCACAGTGCCAGTCTTTTACATCTGTTCTCATGTTAACTACAACCTTTTTTTTCAGTGGCTCTAGCAGCTTAAAAAAGAAAAGGGAAAAAAAACCCCAAAACAACAAGATACAGCAAAATCCAAATGTAATTCTGGACCTTATCCAATCCATCAGAAGAAGCACAAGCACTCACTCAATTTAGAAGGCACTCAGTGCCAGGAATAATGGCAGCTGAGATCTTACCAGCCAGATTGCAAAGTTGCTTTGGGTCACTTTGTGTCAAATTTGGATTAAAGTTGCATTGGGATCTATGCCCTGGGTCACTTTCCCCTCACTCCCACCATTCAGTTAGAGCATCACAAGCTGGACCAATATACAAATCTGCTCCATCATCCCCCATAAAACAGTGCTATGCAGGGCTACCTGAATGCATTCCATCATAGCCCCTTTGGAGTGTGGAGGAGTGTTGTATGGGACCCTGTTCCACTGCTGTGAAACCAACACAAGGATCCCATTCCATTCAGGAACAAGGAGCTCAAAGACAGACTCTGCAAAGACCCTCAGTGCAGCTCTGGGAACAAATTTAAACTCAGTTCCAACAATGCTCCATACAGGACCCAGAAGTGAATGTACCTTCGTAGGAACACAACTGGACTTGCACAGATCTGTTCTGTAGTAAACAAACAAACAAACCAACCAATCAAAAATGAAAACCAAAAACCAAATCTCCAAAAAACCCACCTGCAAATCTGTAATGACTACATTTATTGCTGCATTTACACCACAGTCCAGCTAAGACATCCAGGTATGTGGACTGATTGTATTTCAAGGCAAAGGATGCACTTCAAGTGTTGCTAGCCCCTTACCTTTCTCAGGGCCTGGATAACTGTGCACCACACTCCCCTGTCCCTAAAACAGGCAGATTGTATCATCCATCTTGCTACATATATTGTGCACCTTAGCTTGGGGCATTTTTGGACACCAGACAAGTATTTAACTGCTACTTGTAATGGATTGCTGTATCTTTTCCTGTAGTCTAGTTTCTGAAAAGAAAACTAAACCAAGATTTGGATCTTCACAAATGAGTGATGATCCTGACCAACAAACTGCAGATTTGTAGGAGACAAACAAAGCCATGCTGAAAAACATCTGAAGTTTCATACCCCATGTACATCACTAGATAAATATTTAAAATGGGTACTGCTCTGAAGAGATGTATGGAAACAGCTCCTAAAAGCCCAGTTGTGTTAAGTTCTTACAATCATGTAGGAGCAAATACACAGATTAATTTCCAATAAAAATAGTGTCCTTTGATTTCATCCTTGAAGAAAATGCAGTATACAAACCTAAAACCAAACAGTGGCAACGCATAATGAGAACAGCAAATATAATCCACATTCAAACAAAAACTGTATATAAACTGTATGTTTACCTAAGTGCTGTTTCAAAATTTCAGTCAAGATTTTTATAGTAAGTCCCTCTGAGAAGCCACTAACCTTTTATCGCTTTTTACAGATTCTCCCTGCAAGGATTTGTACATATTTGTCTCAACCTATTGGAAACCAAAGAAGCTAAACCAATAACTTCTCTTATCTGGGTTTTTTTTTTTGTTTGTTTTGTTTGTTTTTTGGTTTTGTTTTGTAGGGGGGATTGTTTGGGGTTTTTTTTAAAGAAAAAAAAATAAAAAATGCAAACCCAGACTTCAGCAATAAAGTAATTTAGTAACTTCCCCAAGAAAAACATGATTGCGTGCTGCTTTGGAAGTGGTCCTGAGAAACCACAAACTGTCAGTCCCACTGGAGTTATAAGAGTTTAATAATAAAGGCTTAACACAGCCTCAGTACCACATACCATTACAGCAATACACTCCACAGGCCAAGCCAAACAGGGAATACAAGAATACATCACAATATAAGGCTGTGATTTGGCACATCCTTATTCAGACACTCAAGCTCTGAGGTCTGTATTGCTTTGTTATATGCATAATCAACGTCTCTCATTCCACACCCCTGCTCTCCAGATACTCTGACGGATCCCTACAGAACTACAGCCTATATTTAATAACATTTAATGTAATTTATACCTCCAGAGCTTGGTCAGAGACCAGATATGCT